TATGTAATAGTACGGTACGGATCGGGTACGATTTCTGTTTAGTGCGATGGAGTACGAGTAATGCCAGGTTAGCAGTAATGCTTGTTTATTAGGAAGACGAAAAATGAAAATTTACGCGGCTGTTTCACTGTTGATTGATGTTCGTTGTGATTTGCGGAAGTAAGGTCCACCAGAGACAGTTATTTTAAACTGACTCGTTCTCATACCACAAAAAACCTACTGTTAAGAAGAAGAAAAAGGATTTCCTTCAGATCCACATCCTTTCAATAGGAACGAAGGTCAACAGAAACAGCCTTTGTGATGAAGTTTTACATTCACAAAGTATTGCCATTTTTATTCATACTTTGCGTTCACAGACTATTTTAATTATATTCAAGTTTTACACGGATTAAGTATCGTAATTGTGATGAAGTATTACATTCACAAATTATTAGAATTCTACCCAGATTAGATTCACACACGAAAAAAAAAATTAAATCTGTTTAAATTTTACATGAAATTACTATTGTAAGACAACTACGCTTTTATACTCGCAAAGTATTGTAAATCTACTCAAGATGTAAATGTAAAGAAAAAAATAATAATTTCATTAAAAAAAAAAAAAAAAAAAAAAAAATATATATATATATATATATATATATATATATATATATATATATATATATATCATTCTACTCAAAATCCACATTCACAAAAATATCACAATTTTCCTCTTACAATGAACAACCACAAGCAAAGAAAAGGAGTTATATCCTGACACGAATTCCCTCTCGCGTATCACACGAAGAACCAAGCTCATACCTGAACAAAGAAGACAGAACGAAGTGGAAATCAATGGGAAAGCGAAGATCAAGGCCTGTTGGTGACGGCAGACGCAAGTGGATTTCTTGGAAGAGGAGACACAAACAGGGTATTATTGTCCCTTACCCCCCTTATACGTTATTTACGGTTGATATGGGTGGCCAGTGCTTGCTATTGCGGCCTCGTTTCGAAGCTTCGGATCATGTGGTTTACTTAGCTGGGTTTTTTTTTGTTTTTGTTTTTTTCGTTTTACGGTTGATAAGGGTGGTCAGTGCTTGCTATTGCGGCCTCGTTTCGAAGCTTCGGATCGAATGGTTTACTTAGCTGTTTTTTTTTTCCTTTATTTTCGTTTTACGGTTGATAAGGGTGGCTAGTGCTTGCTATTGCGGCCTCGTTTCGAAGCTTCGGATCAAATGGTTTATTTAGCTGTTTTTCCTTTATTTTTCGCTGTTTTTCTTCTTCTTCTTCTTCTTTTAATTCCTTTGGATTATTTACGGTGAGCGAATCACTGGTAGAGTAGTAAAATCTTGCAAAGGGAGAAGAGGCTTTAAAAGACATAACGGATAAAGATCTATAAACCTCAAAATCTCTATCACAGAATGACGCTTTATATATATAACTTAAGACCGTAATTACACCGTTTGTTCTAATTGGTCTGAACAACTTGGGGAAACTTTTTTTAGCGATATTTTTTTTGTTTTACAGTTATAATAAAAGAACGACCTTACATCCCTCTAGATTTGTCGATGAGATTAATGATCTAAACAAGTAGATAAAAGTATAAATTGCCTTCTGTCTCATGCGTTTTCTTTCTCTATAAATGGTGTATTTGTACGAGTTTTTATGTCGGTGCTGTGTCAGGGTTATGTTTTATGGATTTCAGAAAAAGAGGAAAGTTTTGCGTGATCCCCTATCTCTCGTACACTCCTTTTATTACGAATCAAAGGGTTTATTATCATTATTGTTGCTGGTGCTGGTGTTATATTCGTTATCATTATAATAATAATTATCATCGTCGTCATTGTCATCGCCATCGTTTTTCGTCATTATTTTCATCACATTCATCATCACAACCACTACCATCATCATCATTATCATTATTATTATCATCACCATCATCTTCATCATTATTATTATTCATTATCATCATCATCATTACCATCATCATCATCATCACAATCACCATCATTATCATCATCATCATCATTACCACCATCACCATCATCATCATCACAATCACCATCATTATCATCATCATCATCATTACCATCATCATCATCATCATCATCATCATCATTACCATCATCATCATCATCATCATTACCATCATCATCATCATCATTACCATCATCATCATCATCATCACAATCACCATCATTATCATCATCATCATTACCATCATCATCATCATCATCATTACCATCATCATCATCATCACAATCACCATCATTATCATCATCATCATCATCATCATCATCATCACAATCACCATCATTATCATCATCATCATCATTACCATCATCATCATCATCATCATTACCATCATCATCATCATTACCATCATCATCATCATCATTTACCCTTTTTTTTTTTTTTTTTTTTTTTTTTTTTTTTTTTTTTTTTTTTTTTTTTTTTTTTAGAATTTTTCCGATGTTTGTGAATTGAAGCGAGGTCATTTGAAGTATTGAAGAGTAAGTATAATAGATTTTTTTTTTCTTTTTTTTTCTTTTTTTTGAGGGGGTTGTGGTTGTTTTGATGTTATTTTTTTGTGAAGCATTGAAGGTTTCATGTAGTTTTGAAGGCTTGTTGGTGGGATAAATTACACGTGGCAGCGCGAGCGAGCACATACGATGCACACACTCACTCAACTCACTCAACTCACTCAACTCACTCACTCACTCACACACACACACACACACACACACACACACACACACACACACACACACATAAACAAATAAACAAACACATGTATATGTATGTTTGTATGTATGTATGCATGTATGTAAGTATCTCTCTCTCTCTCTCTCTCTCTCTCTCTCTCTCTCTCTCTCTCTCTATATATATATATATATATATATATATATATATATATATATATATATATATATATATATATATATATATATATATATATATATATATGATCTATCTAGCTATCTATATCTAATCTATCTGTGTGCATACCTCCATATATATAATGTGTATGTATATGTATGTATGTATGTATGTAACCTTATTTATTTACTTAAATTTACCTATTTGTACACACTCGCACTAAGCACTGCATTTATACTCGAGCAAAAGTTGCAACAGCAACATCAAATCAATACCTTTCAAGAGCGCAAGCAATAAAGCCTAGCAATAAATTTCGTCACGTTCTGCAAATATGCACATCGATGTTGCAGACTGAAAAAAAGAGGGAATTCTTTGATACTGAGTAATTGTTGAGATATAAAATGTATGTGGTACTTGATTCGCATAGTATAGATCCTGTAAAATTATTATTTTTCTTTTTCTCTCTAAGCTTGTAAGCGCGTGGCAGCGTGGTTTGTTGTATAGCACTGTGTTGCAATCGATACTGTATGATTCATCTATAATTGCTCGAGAAACTGTATTGTCAGCTTCGAATTTTGTTTTGAACTTTGTAGCTGTTGATTGGCAAAAAAAAAAAAAAAAAAAAAAAAAAAATGTGCGGTTTTATCTGTTTATTGCTTGTCCAGCGAAACATGTTCTGTTGGTCGCTATATTTTGATAATCAGTAAAATCAAATCTGTCCATTTGTTCAGGTTTCAAAACGAAGGTAAAAGATGTACTGAGAGCATTTTTTCTTTTTCATTTTCTTTTATTCTTTCTTTCTTTTTTTCTCTCTATTTCTTTCCTTTTTTGTCAGTTGTTGACAGAGTAAAAGAATTCTGTCTTTGACCTTTTGTCTGTTACTTTTTGATGGAATGGCCTTGAACTGAAAAATACATTTCATTTTTAGAATAATGATAATAATAATATTGACAAAAAAATAGTGTTTAAACTGGCTTCTTATTCTTGCCCTGGGTCCACAACCCTCTAGTAACTCCTCAAGTTACATGAATAGAAATGTAAATGTCAGCGAATATTACTTCACAATTTGGTAGCTGTAAATAAGTCTCCAATAAAAAGTAATTAAATATTTAAACAAGATAAATGAATTGTACAAGGATCAAGATATTTGTGTGACTGTGACGTGACACATATTATTTTTGTTGAAAAAGTCTTATGATTTCTGACGTTATTGTTATTGTTGTTCATTGTTATTATCTTATTCAGTTAATGTATAAGAACAGTAACATTCTATGGTAATTCAGGCGCAAATATTACGAATGGTTCACATATCAAGCACCAATAAAAAGGAAAGTACACAAAAAACGAAAGATATTACGAATGGTTCAAATACCAAGAACCCATAAAAAGGAAAATACACGAAAAAAATACAACATTTTTTTTCGAAAGATCAATTTTTTTTATTGAATATTCTACTGAGGTCGTCTTCATTTCTATTACAGAATTTCAAGCATCATTCTAAATACAATAGGAAACCCACTGATTTACCATTAGCGACAGAGTACAATTCCAACAACTAACATAACAAAAAAACAACAAAATAAAAAAACATTCCAGGCGCTATTCCAGAAGAATTCCAATTTCGACCAAACGGACCCACAGGCGCGTGCACTAAGACCACCTCAGACCAATAAACAAGAATAAAACGTTTAAAAAGCTAGTCTCACACTCAAAGGCAAGTACTTCGGCAGATGGGTGTGTCCGAACAGCCACAGAAAAGGGGGAGGGGGGAAGGACTTGTATGTTGTGATATGGAAGTCCTTTTAATGTTAATTGCAGTTGATTTTGAGATGTTTACAAAGATATGGGGGAAAAAATCGAACTACTACATGATGTGGACTGTGGCGAATGGTGTTCTGTGCTGTTAGAGAGGAGGTGGGAGGTAATTTTTCTCTCTAACGGGATTATAAGTCTTAAGAACTTGGATTTCTCTCTCTCTCTCTCTCTCTCTCTCTCTCTCTCTCTCACTCTCTCTCTCTCTCACTCTCACTCTCACTCTCACTCTCACTCTCACTCTCTCTCTCTCTCTCTCTCCCTCTCTCTCTGATATGATAGTAGCCCTTGAGAGGGTCAATACAGGTCTAAAATTCTCTCTCTCTCTCTCTCTCTCTCTCTCTCTCTCTCTCTCTCTCTCTCTCTCTCTCTCTCTCTCTCTCTCTCTCTCTCTCTCTCTCTCTCTCTCTGACATGATTTAAGATACAATAGATACCAATACATGTCTTACAGATGTTTCTCTCTCTCTATCCGCCCCCGCCCCCCCCTGCACTTTCCGACACAACTAAAGGCACTGTAGATGACTTCACAGGCCCGCGATGTGCTTACAGGCCCCAGCTCATCTTGACGACTGAGACGAAGTAGTCATCGTCATCAATAGCCTTGCTGAGCCCTGAATAGTAGTCGGTGAACTCCTTCTTGGTTACCTGGGGAGAAATTATTTATTAATTAAGAGTGTAGGCCGTATACACACAAACACACACACACACACACATATCTATATCTCTATATCTCTTTTCTTTTCTTTTCTTTCTTTCTTTCTTTTTTCTTGTTTTGTTGAATTTTGGATAGTGATACATTTACGACAAACCTCTCTTTATGTACCGTGTTTGAGGCCATATAAAAACACACATGCTTATCACTATGCACAAGCTCCGATTTCAACAAGGGAATATTCTGATTTTTTTTTTTAGAGGTATTCATGTTAACACGCAGGTTTATTTTTGGTAATTTCTCTTAAAAAAAAACATTAACTGAATGAGATCTCAGGCTGTACTCGGAAGGAAACTTATAGAAGGCATATTTTACAAAAACAGACTGGATTAAGTATTAGTTAACAGCTGTATATAGTATGCTAAGATTTGGGTAAAAATATTCAGCAGAATTCACGAGGACAGTGAATAGAATACAACATATATATGTTTAAGAAAATTCCTTTTTAAACCAAAATATTTCAAATCTACGTTTTATATTTATGGCCAACTGTAAGTCAAAATCGAGTAGAACGAAATAACTAGTGGATAATACCTGAGATTTTAAAAATAGGAAAATACAAATAGATAAAACATATGCAACAAATAAAGAATGTGAAATCTTAAAGAGAAATAGGCTGACAACAAAATTAATGAAGAATATGAAATGAGATAAGATTTATAGATCTACACAGATGCAACAAATAAAAAGAAAATATATATGAATTCAGATTGAGAAATACGTATTCAACAAGTGGTGAATATGAAGTTATATAAATGGACAGATAAGAACATAAAAAGTACATTCAAATACTCAAAGCATGTACATAAATTTACATAATGATACTCAAAGCATAAACACAAATAAATCGATCAAAGTAAATAAAAAACAGACCAATACAAATAAGGTAAATCAGTATAAACAAACAGGTAAATAAGTAAAGTAAAGAAAAAATGCATAATAATTACACTTAACGAATTCAAAACAAACAAACAAAAATAAAGTAAATCGACAAAAACAAACAGGCAAATAAATAAAGTAAAGAAAAAAAACATAATTACACTTAACGAAACAAACAAAACAAAACAAACAAAAATAAAGTAAATCAATATAAACAAACAGACAAATAAGCAAAGCAAAGAAAAAAAACACATAATAATTACACTTAACGAACTCAAAACAAAACAAAACAAAAAACAAAAAATATCCTGACCTTCCCATCAACAGAGGTGTTACTCTCGAACATGTTGAGGAACTTGGTGAGCAGCTCCTCCTCAGTGGCCTCCTTCTTGAGGACTTTAGGGTGGTTCTTGGCCGAGTACACGCCCTTCAGGTCCGCCAGAGTCACCACGCCGTCGCCAGTCTTGTCCAGGTGCTTGAAGACGGCCTCCACCGCGTCCTTGCGAGGGGCGGACATGGTCGGCTGAAGGAGGAGAAGGAGGAGGAGGTAGAGGATCCCGAAGTGTGGTTGAAGGAGGAGGTTGTTGAAGGAAGAGGAGGAGGAGGGTGAGGTTGTTGGAGTATTTTTGAAGGAGGAAAAGGAAGGAAAAGAGGGTAAGGTTGTTGTACAAACGTCATTGTGTTCGATGCCCCAAGGGAAATCGAAACAGGAGAAATGACTGCATACAATGAACATATCATTCATGTGAGACGCATCAAGGTCAGTGGAATGATGACCCAGAGAATCATCATGACGTGTGAGAGGGAGGTAACCCACAAAACTATTAAAAGGGTTGAGGGCATGGCACCCTTTAGGTGTGCCGTCTACAAATGCCTGGCGCCGTTTTGCTCTATTTGCTCAAAGTGAGGCTTGTCCACGAGATGCACTGCGATGCGGGAATGGGCTCTTCCGCACGGAAGTTCAGAATGTGCAGAAAAAAATTCCGAAGAAAAAAATATCCCTGTAGTGGGCCTTAGAAATGGTCAAGTATTCAATTTCTCCAAGTTAAATCTATTGAAATGTATTACCTGGAACAGAAACAGTTTACAGAAACGCAAGGCAACTCTCTCCCTTTCCCTTCAGTCTGAAAATGTTGATATGTGTTGCCTTCAGGAAGTCAGAACTAGTGTTCTTTAAGCAAAAATTGCATAAATCACCGAAAGTGATTGATGGCAATCGTGACAACACCTGTGCTGAATATCTTAGTACAGCCTTTTAGGCATCTCTATAACACTAAAGTTTGACTGATAGCCCTCTACATAAAGAGAAGCACAGCCAGTTTGGATAGATGCTTTGGTATCTTACCCTGGCTTTTTGCAGGGCATGTATACTGTTCTGTAAATGAATATTATCAAATCAAACCGAAATCTCTCTCTCTTTCTCTCTCTCACTCTCTCTCTCTCTCTCTCTCTCTCTCTCTCTCTCTCTCTCTCTCTCTCTCTCTCTCTCTCTCTCTCTCTCTCACCCACCTTAACTCTCCCTTCTACTCCCTCTTTCTCTCCCTCTCCCTCTCTCGCCCCCCACCTTCCCTCCTCCCACGCACTCCCTCCCTACACCCTAAACCACCCTAACCCACCCAAACCCACCTTCCCTCCTCCCCTCCCCACACCCTAACCCACCCTAAGGGCATCCAGGAACTCCTCGTAGTTGATGCCCGACTGCCCGTCCTTCTCGAAAGCGGCGAAGAGCTTGGTGACGTCGCCCTCGGAGAAGTCGAGGCCGAACTGAGCCACGCCCTTGCTAAGCTCGTCCTTCGAGAGTGTCCATGAGCGGTCCTTGTCCAGTCGACGGAACAGCCTGGAATGGTGGTGATTTTCATTATCATTTATTTCTTATTCTCATTTATTAGTTATTGTTTGCTTATCATTATTTTTTTTATGATGATTTTCTGGTGATTTGTTTTCTCTTTATCTATCATTATTTGTGTTTATTGTCTATTATCATTCCTTTATTCGTTATTCGTTATCATTTCTTTATTATTCAGTTATTATCTATTAACTTTTCTTTATTCGTTATTCATCATTTATCATTCTTTATCGTTTATTATTAATTATTATCAGTTATTATCATCTATTACCAATTATCATCGTTATTGGGGATTAGGAAGGTGGGTAACAACAACATTTGCAATAATAACAACAAAACGGTAATAACAATAAAGATAATGAGGATGGTGATGATGATAACAACAATAATAATAATGATAATGATAATCATTACTATTACAATTATTATTATTATCATTAGCATTATCTTTATCATTATTATCATTATCATTATTATTATTATTATTATTGTTATCATTACCTTTATCATTATTATCATTATCATTATTATTATTATCATTATTATTATTATTATTGTTATTAGCATTATCATCTTTAATGACACTGATATTGTTAATTAATAACCTGACTACAAAAGGCATTCCCTATTAAACAGGATCAGAGGAACGAATCACTTGCATAGATAGTAATTTTGATTATTAATAATGATCTAATGACAGTTGAAGGGGACCCTCGTTGCAACGGACCATATGCTATTGTTGGGATATTTCTTTTTTGTATAATAATGAAGGCTTGTTTGGAATAATGAAGCCCTTGGTAATTGATGTTGAAAACAGTCCAAAATTTTGTTAAGGCTGACTAATTAGTGTTTTTTTTTTTTTTTTTTTTTGTAAATAAATGAATCATTGAAAAGAATTTGATTTGTATATTTCGTTGTTTTGAATTGCGAAGGAATCTTTGTTGTTGATTTTCATCGAACTTTGTTTAACAATTAGCTTAGCTGTGTTGATTATGAGATATATATATACCGTGTGACAAGAGCTGAAAAAATGATAAATTGATTATAGAGTATTTTTTATGTTATACACGAACATAAGAAAATAGATTGTGTACTATTTTTATATAATACAAGAATAGAAAATAAAATGTTATATACTATCTTTCATGTTATACAAGAACATAAAAATAAGTTTATTATGGAATATCACATTATACAATAACAGAAGAAAATAAATGCAAAATCTTTCTCATTATTACGGATATAGATGGCATTATGTTGTGTCAGAAATAAAAACTCCAATAAGACCGGAATACGGAAATGTCACGTTTCGAGAGAGATTGAAATCATCATCAGGAGTAAAATCGACTACTTGAAATGTCAAAGTTTAGTGTTTCCTTCTTTACTGTAGCGTGTTTCCTTTCATCTATGTACAGATTTACAATTTTGTTCATGAAGCATTATGTCATTATCCCTAAAAAAGAAAAATACAATTGAAAAGAGCGTCTTCATTGTATTACATTTATAATCTATGCTTAGCTGATACGGAAGCGTTGTTAATGCACCAAAATAATAATAACTATTTTTCATTCTAATCCATCTCCGTATGAAAAATAGAATACGAAAAAATATATCTATAATTACAGATATAATTAAGCTTAGAATTTTATAATGTTTGCACGTATTTATAGTATCAACACATACATGGATATTTTTATACAGAAACGAAGGCCCATCAATGCATGAAGTACAGTAATAACACTCATTAGTATTCAGTATTATATGCTTACAGTCAGCCCACGCAATAACACGTGATCAGAGACTACCGGTATATAACGATTTCTCTTCCTCAATTGCATATGTTCTTTGCCATGTGTTTCTCTGTTTGTTTGTTTTTTCATTGTTATTATCCAGTCGTTATTGTTATCATTTTCATCATTATCATATCATTATCATAATTCTGATCATAATTATCATTAGTAGAAGTAGTAGTAGTAGTAGAAGTATCATCATCATTATTATTAACATTATTATCGTCATTATTATTTTTTATTATTATTATTTTCATCATTATCATTATCATCTTCAACATCATCCCATTCATCAATATTACTATTATCATTACTGATACTATCATCATTATTATCATTTCTATAATCATTATTATCACTATCTTATTTATTTATTCATCAACCAATTACAATCATATACGCATATTTTGAAATTCAATGCGTTTCATACCAGCAACGCGCACGCACTCACCTCCCGAGGGATAAAATGCCGGAGTAACCTTGGGAGAGGCAGTGGTTCCTCAGCTTCTCGAGGGGATCCGTCGATGCCTGCACCTTCGCCTTGGCGGCTTCCTTCATCTTGGCTTCTTGCGACATCCTGAGGATAAAGGAACTTGTTTCGTCATCGCTCTCGCTTTGTTTGATTTTTTTTCTCTCTCTCTCTCTCGATTTTCCTTCTTTTTTGTGGTGTTTTGTCTTTCTGTCTTTACGTCTGTATGTTTGGTTGTCTCTGTATGTATATATATGTGTGTGTGTGTGTGTGTGTGTGTGTGTGTGTGTGTGTGTGTGTGTGTGTGTGTGTGTGTGTGTGTGTGTGTGCGTGTGTGTATGTATGTATGTGTATATATAAGTATGTGTGTATGTATGTCTCAATCTCACTCTTTCCTTCTCTCTCTCACACACACACATATGTGTGTGTGTGTGTGATACAGTATAATATATGATATCTATAGTGGAAAATATATACACATACATCTAAATATATCTACTCATATCTATCGATCTATCGGACCATCTATCTCTCTTTCACTCCATTGCGCCACGATTCATTTACCATGCTTTGACATTATCCGATCCTAAAAATATCTCATGACTAAAAACAGATTTGTTCAGCCACCGGAGACAGTGTTCTTGCCATTATAGGGATGACTAACGCCTTTTGATATTAACATATTTTTATAATGATTCATGTTTTCTCTCTCTCTCTCTCTCTCTCTCTCTCTCTCTCTCTCTCTCTCTCTCTCTCTCTCTCTCTCTCTCTCTCTCTCTCTCTCGCTCTCGCTCTCGCTCTCGCTCTCTCTTTCTCTTTCTCTTTCTTTTTCTCTCCCTCTCCCTTTCCCTCTCCCACTTCCTCACTCTCTTTCTCTCCCCCCCCCTCTCTCTCTCTCTCTCTTTCTTTTTCTTTCTGTCTTTCTACTTTGCTTCTTTTCCTTGTAATTAACTTTTACTCTTGTTTTATAAACAATAAGCAAGAAACAACAGAGCTATGACAAAACACCTATTATATGCTTGTTTTTTAACCTTGAGTATTGTTTCTGAAAAACTGTTCATTGGCAGTTTTTAAAAATCACACAAATAACTTTTGCTTATTTTAGAATGAAATAATTTCTGACAGATATCAAATAAGTGAGAAAAAGATTAGAACTTTTTTATAATATATTATATATCGAAAAAAAATACAAACTACCCCCAATATTCATTCCGTCTTACCTAAACAACACCCAATGCAAACGCGCAACTTCAAAGAAAATATACCAGAGGTCACGCAGCCACTCGTTTCATTCCTTTTATTTATTAATTTATTCCCTCATTACAATGGGGATTATCACAAGTATTCGTTACTCAAAAAATGAAATCAACAAGCGTCACGAGGATAAGGATGCGAGAGGATAAAGATAAGCGAAGTCGAAGTTGAAGTCGATCGGAATGAATTCGCGACAAAAGACGAACTCGATGCGCATTCCCGCGGGAGTGGCTGCCTCATCATAGGCCGTTTGTGACGTCATTCGGAGACATTTGGTATTTTAATGTCATTCGGGGCGAGAAAAGAATGGGGTGTATTTCTCTCTCTCTCTCTCTCTCTCTCTCTCTCTCTCTCTCTCTCTCTCTCTCTCTCTCTCTCTCTCTCTCTCTCTCTCTATCTATCTATCTATCTCTCTCTCTATCTATCTATCTCCTCTCTTTCCTCTCTCTCTCTCTCTCTCTCTCTCTATCTATCTATCTATCTATCTATCTCCTCTCTCTCCTCTCTCTCTCTCTCTCTCTATCTATCTATCTATCTATCTATCTATCTATCTATCTCCTCTCTCTCTCTCTCTCTCTCTCTCTCTCTCTCTCTCTATCTATCTATCTATCTATCTATCTCCTCTCTCTCCTCTCTCTCACTCTCTCTCTCTCTCTCTCTCTCTCTCTCTCTCTCTCTCTCTCTCTTCTCTCTCTCTCTCTCTCTCTGTTTTTTGTATCCTTCCAAAAATTCAAAGGAAGAGCGTTCGTCAAAATCTTAGTAATTCCAGAGGTCGGGAAATTATATAGTGCGGTTTGATCTGGCGCCTCCTCCTTCTCCCTCTCCCCCTCTCCCCCCTCTCTCTCCCCTCCCTCTCCCTCTCTTTCCTCTCCCCCTG